GGGGTGGGGGTGGGGTGGGGTGGGATTGGGGGTGGGGGTGATGGGGGTTTTCCTGCTGCAGGGGCAGCTTCCGGCCCTGGAACTACTCCGAGGAGGGACAGCGGGTGGAAGAGAGACGGGGCAGATACTCGGCCTGCCAGGGCCTCTCGGGGTCCGGGGCGGCAGGAAGCGTTTGCCAGCAGGAGGAAAAGACCCGAAAGATGGAGCTCCAGGTTCGCTCTCCGTTTTGCAGCTGCCAGAACCTAGATTCAAAAAGAGCTACCGGAGGTCGCGTCTACACGCTTCACCACTACCCCTTTATTCGGCCTCTGGAGGCCTAACTAAATCCACCTGCTTTGGAGTTAGAAGAGATTTGGGTCCTGGAGTGCGGGTGGCCGTGAGCCTGTCACCCTCCGATCCTGTTTCGTTGCTTGCTGAGACTCCGCGGCGGGGGGGTTGGCTGGGAGGGAGGGAGGGTGGGGAGCGCGGCTCAGAGTAAAATCATTGGTTGGGGGAAAGGCGCCCACTTATTTTCCGGAGTACATGTGCGTGCCTCTGTGTTTATTCGTCCGTGAGAATGTTGTCTGAATTCACCTATTCGTGAACGTTGTGTTCACTCGTTTGCCTGAATAATTTTAGCACAACACTCTCTCCGGTAGCTTAAAATAGCCCCTATTAAGAAGCAAATAATTGCAGGCAAGTCAATGTAGATGTGTGAGTTTTTGTCGTAATTTAGACACAAGTAAATGAGAGATTTCAAAGTGATCGGTCTGCAGTGGGTGGTATAATTTACCTCGGGAGTAAAATCGGTGTTTGCAAAGGGATTTTCATGAAAGTTTAACACAAAACGAAATTATTATTATTTCTTTTTTTACACAGGTTCCACACAAGAAAATCAGGGGAAAAGGAAAAAAAGTGGTGGGGGGGTGGGGGTGGGGAATTGTCCACTGCGGGTCGTTATGACGAGGAAGATAAATATGTTACTCCCGTGCAACGAAGACATGGACCGCGGACAGATGGCGCCGCGGCCTTGCTCCCAGAGCCCTGACCGCCCTGTTTTTCTTTCGTTCCAGATTGCTCGTGCCGCCCTCCTGGCTTTCCTCCTGGATCTCTCAGAGGCTGGACCAATACATCTGCCAATGCCCTGACCGAATTCCAGACGACTCCGGGTCCTGGAGCCCCATCACACGGAGCCCAAAGCCCCCCAACCCTGCAGGCCCGAGGACCCAGAAGGCTGGAAGCCCGAAGCTCGGTAGAGGATTAAAGCCTACGCGGCCAGCGGGGCCCCTGAAGTGGCGAGCCTTTGCCGGAAGGGGGCGCCCTTGTCTTTTTAATCATCTTACACGGGTAGCGGAATAAATCTCTAAGACCCCAAACCTTTTGTTTGCTCTGAAGTTATTTCGAGCCCCAAAACACAGAGTCCCTGATAGCAGTGGGGAGGAGTGAGGGCCCCGACCCCCACGGGCCTCTACCTGGGCCATCTGCGTGGATGGAGGCGGCAATCCCTCTGTGGCCTTTCCCCCAGCGCGCGTGTGGACCCCGCACCATGACGCGCCCCCTCGTGCCCCTGGCGCGCTCCCCAACAAGCTCATCTGCGCTGCAGTCTCGCCACTTCTGAGTTTGGCGAGGGAGGGGTTTGCTCGCGTTATCGCTGGTCAGGTTGGTGTTTACAGAGACAGAGTAAGAACGTGCGACATGAAAAGCTGCCCGCATGGGGCTTCGCCCAAAGAGAAAGTGGAAGGCAGAAGGCGACCTCCTCCGAGCAGGGCGCCAGACCCAGGAGCTGAACCTGGACAACAGGGCTCCTCGGAAGGATTTTTACAATCACGAAATCGGTCTCATCCTTCCCTGCTCCCCTCCACGCACACACACTCGGATCCAGGGAGGGCGCGCGACCGGCCGCCCTCGGCCTTGCCCTCGGTCCGGGGCTCCTCTCTGGTGAATCGATTTGGAAGCGTCTCGTTCGCTTCCCACCTCGTTCTTTCCCGGGAGAGAGCCGGGGCTGGAAGCCCACCCACCCGCTGGAGCGCGGGCCCTAAGCACTGGAATCCCTGGGCTGCGGCGGCCGCCCCCGCTGCCTGCCGCCCGCCTGCTGCTCGGAACTTCGCTCGCTCCGGCAGGTTCCCTGGACTCCGGGCCTGTGCGCTTGGGCGCAGGGAGCGCGTGTGCGGAGAGCCCTCCCGTCCCCACCCAGGCTGCTGGCTTTGCTGCGCGGCCCAGGCGGCCAGTCCCACCGGGCACCGGGCCCAGATACACGACACCAGGGAACCGGCACGGAGGCAGAGACCCCGTGTCCCTCTCGGGGCTCCGGTCCTACGAACAGCCGATGTGCCCCAGGTTTCCGGAATTCCGCACTGTGGGTCTCTCTCTACGTGCACCCGGAAAACAGAGTTGGCGCCACCCCGCCCTGCACCCACCCGGGATTATGTGGGTACGTGCACTGAACCAGCGCAAAGTGAAAAGGAGACGAAGTCTGAGGCCACAGCAGCAGGGGCCGCCTGGGGTTCCCTGCCTCGCCCAGCCTGGGTCTTTGCCGCTTCTGCCGACCGCTGATCTTTCACCGGCAAAAGGGCCCCCGCATCTCCCAGGCCTGAGGCCCGCCAGCTCCTCTGAGGGTCACCAGGAGGCAAACAGAGGAGAAAATGGGCGGTGATGGGCCATTTTCTGGTTTCCTCTCCTGCTGGGCCGCACCAGCATGTTTGGGACGCCCCGAAGGGCAGGGTAGGACTTCTACTCTCTCATTCTGTAACCACTGTTTGTACCTGGGAGGGGCCGCGTCTACAAGACCACAAATATCTATTACATGCGGCACCCAAATGCCCAACAAACCATGACCTGCTGCTCACAGAACCATCAGGAACGTTAAGGGAAGAATTAGAGAGCTTCGGAAAGGAAATGTGGAATGGCGAATTATCCAGACACTTTCTCAAACTCCTTCTCTGTGAAAGGAAAGAGGACGGACGAGGACAGCCCTCTGGCTTCGTTTTCACACACCTGCAAAATTTATGAGTTAGAGATGGGGCCTTCCGAGACGAGTGGGCAGAACCTAGGGGGTGGGCAGGGACGGAGAGACCCTCGAGCATTGTCCATCCTGCCCAGCTGTCATTTTAGAAAAATGTTAAATGGGCATCCTAGTCACACCGGTGACACTGCCTTTTCTCCTCTCCCGGTCTTCCTGCTGTCGCTGGAAGAGGGAGTGGTGTGAACGGAAGGGGGTGTGAAAGGAAGCTGCCCTGCAAAGGGATCTCCTTCCAAGTTTATTCGTAATCAGCTCAATTTATGAAAGCGGTTTCTAAAGTGCTCTAAGAGCTCTAGATAGAAAACATGAGACTAATTATCATGGCTACTAGGACTGGTTATCGTGATTAACACCACTGTCCGGATGAATGATTATGACTAGAACAGGTTCTTTGGGAACCCTGGCGGAGTGGGCTGTAACTCCGGGCTTCACTGCTCTCCGGACACAAAGGGGGCACCCAAGCCACCCCTGAGGAAGGGTCCAGGAGCCAGTGGCCTGGGAAGGGTGTCGTCTTTGGGGGCCCCTCAGCAGAGTCCTCGGCCCCATCCGGGCCCTGGCAGGCTCCTGGTCTCCCCTGCCCACCACCCAGCCAGGAAGATCCCTCACGGTGTAGAGCTGGTCTTGACCTTGGCGAGAACCTTCTTCTCCTTGACCCGGCGGTTCTGAAACCAGATAGTAATCTGGCGCTCCGAAAGGCTAGTGGCCGCCGAAATCTTGCGCCTCTTGTCCTTGGTGATGAACTTGTTAGCCGCGTACTCTCGCTCCAGCTCGCGCAACTGCCCCTTGCTGTAGGGAATTCGCTTCTTACGGCCGCGGCGGAAGGCGCAGCCATCAGGAGGGTGCTGCGCGCTCGCGTCTGCGCGGCGGGAAAGGGGGGGAGAAAAAGGCACGCTTAGACCCCCGCCCTGAGCAAGCCCAAGCGCAGACCCAGGCCCTGCAAGCCCCGAGGCTAAGTCATTCCGCACCCAGGTCACCCTACAGGCGCACGTGCTCTCTCGCTCCCCCAAAGCATAGGGGACACCCCGGCTTCCTTCCGGCTGGTTCTCTCATCACCGCTCAGTCTGGGCTCCTGCAGGCCACGCTCACCCACCACGGCTCTCACACCCGCGAGTCTGCAAACACACCCACCACACACTGCCAGCCCTTTGCCTAGGATCACATACGTCCACCCTCACATGCATTTTCAGACTCTTGGCCATTCTTATAGATTCTACAGGCAAATTCTGTACAGGAGGAAACACGTTTCTGCTCCCACTCCCCCCCCCAAACGCACACACACACACATACACGCACACACACAAATGCACACACCTAAGTCATGGCTGCAGGAAACCTACATTTTCCCTTGGAAATAGAAAACTTTATCTAAGAGAAAGTGAGGGGTTGTATTCTCTACAGAATCCAATATTTTCCTTTCCACGCTCACACCCACGCCCAATCATCGAATTCAGAGTTTTTTAGCCTTTATGTAGAATTAGACTCGGATTGTGCTGGGTAGGGACACCTTGACACCCACCCAACAGCAAATGACCCAAGGCTCTTCGACATATGGAAAGGCTGGTCTCAGGGCCTCCTGGGGAAGTGAGGGGGCTGGTGGCCCTCGGGCTTCGGATAACACCTGGCTTAGGCTCCTGACACTGACCCTCTGGGGCCTTCACCCAGGCCCTCCAGCTGCCTAGACCCTCCTTCAGAGTTCTAATAATCAACCGAGGAGCACCAAACTCCTCCTTGCCAGCCCCAAGTCTCACCTCTTCTCCTCCCAGGCAAGTGCCAACGGGCCCACAACCACAGGCTCAGAACCAAGGGAACCCGGGGTAGTGGAGGTTACCTGCGAATGCTGCCTTCCAGAAGGGACCCGGTGGGTTCTGTTCTCCCTGGCAACACATCTGGCTGTTCCAGCCGCCGGCGAGGGCCCAGGGCTGGTAACTGTCCATGGGCAGCAGGGAGTCATGGCGAGGCTCCCCGGGGGCGCCCAGGGTCTGCACCACCGACACATCCAGGTAACTGGCCATAGGCTGGTAGGGTCCCGGGTACCCCGGATAGAAGGCAAACTCGGTGGGGCGGCTGGGGTACTCCTCCCCGGCCGCAGGAGTCTCCGCAGGGTAGGCGGTCAGGGTGGCCGCCTGGGCACAGGGTTTCAGCGAGCTCCGGGACACTCGGCAGGAGTAGTACCCGCCTCCAAAGTAGCCATAAGGCACGGGAGCGGGGGACGCCCCCTGGGGCACCCCGGGGCACGGGTGGCACTGCTTTGGCGGTTCCACAGAGCCTGGCAGATCCAGGGGGGCATAGTTGACAGCGGGCATCAGCGTAGGTGCCGCTGGGTGGCTGGTCAATGGGGAGTGGGCGGCTAGATTCCGACCCCCTCCTGCTCCCAGCAAGCCTTCGATATCCTTGGCCCCGTCCAAGGTGGCATAATTGCCAGGCTCCATGGGGCTGAAGATCGGCTCATCGGGTGCTGGGGGTGGGGAAAATCGGGGGCACCCAGCTCACTCTCCCCACCCAGGCCCGGGCAATCCAAAGCGTTTTAAATCGCTCCCAGCTCGCACGGCGCCTGCATTCGCTCAGCACGGCCGTCCTGACGCAGGAACGCAGGGGCCTGGGCACGCGCGCTGATTGGCTGCAGCCCGGGAGAGAGGCTAATAAAATCCTCGGGGCAGCAATTGCAAAAATACTTCACCCCCGCTTCTCTCTCTCTCTCTCTCTCTCTCTCTCTCTCTCGCTGCAATTGCAAAAATACTTCACCCCCGCTTCTCTCTCTCTCTCTCTCTCTCTCTCTCTCTCTCCCCCTCTCTCGCTCTCGCTCTCTCTCTCGCTCTCGCTCTCTCATTGCATTTGAAAACAACACGCGAGAAAAGGGAGGAGGTGTCCTCTCGCTGCTTTCCAGTTTGGAGAGACCCAGTTCCACGTCGGGGGGCGGGGAGAAGAGGGGTGGGTGGGACGAGAAGGAGAGGGGACGAGGAGCCGGGCCCCGCCTCCGTCGCCTTCTCTCCCTCCCTGGCTCACTGTCTCCTGCGCTTTGGCAGGTTTAACGAGAGAATAAAAAGCTCTCCCTATAAAGTGTCCATCTCGTGGGGGGAAGGGGAGTTGGGGGTGGGGCTGGGAGGCCGCTCCCGGCCTCAAAGGAGAACCCGGGAATGCGTCTGAGTAAGAAGAGGCTGGGAAATCGGGGTTGACCAGTATTCCTAGGAACCCCTTGTTTGGGGTCCTAGGTGCTAGCACCCCAGTTCATCCCAGGTGCCCCTCCTGTCCCAGATGTACTGTAATATAAGCTTCTCCGGGGTCCGGGGAAGTGAACTGGATGCCCCTTCCCCAGGGATTCAAAGCTACTGCCCAGAAGGCTCTGGAGGCCTCGATTTGGGTTGAGGCAGATGGGAACATGAACTCGGTCACAGAAGATATGCGATCTGAAGTCCAGGACACTCAGTGTCCGGACCTGAGGGGGAAAGGGAGCCTCTAGACTGCCTGTGAAAGGAGGTCTGGATTTCCGTTTAAGGGTGGGGGAAAGAGATACACACAGAGGCACGCATGATATGGGGGGGGAAAGAAAGGAGATCCAGGGATAGCAGCACGAAGAAGGAAAGAGAAAATGAAAGAGGGCTTAGGACAGAATCTTATAAAATCCTGAAATGCTAGTCTGAAAAGAAAAGGAAAAGAGAATGCCTTTCCCCCTTTTCTGGGATCTAAGGAGGTCTGGGGAAGCCAGGTCTGGCTAACTGGAAATGAAGCAGCTGTGGGGGTTCTAGACCCCAAGAATACCCTGCAGTCTGGTCCTCCCCCTAGGGTCCAGGAGGTCCAGGAAACTGTCCCTGGTGCTGGCACACTACCACCCAAGCTGAGTGCCCGGGAAGGCCAGGACCCCCATCTGCCTCCTCCAGACTTTAAATTTCCTTCGAAGGAAAAGGGGATGGGAGGGGGAGCCCCAACTCCTGGCAGAATTGCTTGAGGCCCCTCTGTTGGGGCCTATTGTGCAGTGCAATTCAAGAGACTCAAAAGGTTTATTTCACAAATCTGTCTTTAGAGCTTTTCTGTTTCCTTCACTACCCCTCCTAAGTTAGATCCTTCTGTGTCTGCTTTTTCTAGAACCCCCAGTTTTTCTGGAGATGACAGGGACTTTTCCATTGTACACCAGGATCTTGGCAATTACATAAAACAGACCACCCTGAGCTCTGGGTGGTCTCAGCTATGTCCCCTCACCAACCTGAACTTGAACTTGAGCCACCTTGTGGGAAAGGGCCCATGCAAGCCATTTTTGCTCGAAGTTGTAGGGCTTATAGGGCCGTAGTGGAAAGTGTAGATCAGATATTGCTAATAATTGAAGACACCAAGCACAGAATCCTTGCTAGACTTTATCACGTTTGAAAACAACACGGGGAAAAAAGGGAGGAAATGTTTCTTCGTTGCCTTCCAGTTTATCATCATAGCCTCTTGTTTGCCTAATTACTAAGATTTTTACCTAAAGACTATGAATTTTTCACCGATTTTTACTTGGTAGATGATGAATACATAGGGCCTTTCCACAATTTTAGCTTCAACTAGGCAAACATATTTTATATATGTGTATGTATGTATATAAAATTTGTGTGGGTACATTTATTCATGCCTGTGTGGTAAAGCATAAACAGATACCTAAATATTATTATTTTTTTCTTAAAGATGACCGGTAAGGGGATCTTAACCCTTGACTTGGTGTTGTCGGCACCACGCTCAGCCATTGAGCTAACCGGCCATCCCTATATGGGATCCGAACCTATGGCCTTGGTGTTATCAGCACCACACTCTCCAGAGTGAGCCACGGGCCAGCCCCCCTAAATATTATTATTATTATTGGTGACTGACTGGTATGGGGATCAGAACCCTTGACCTTGGTGTTATAACACTATGCTCTAACCAGCCAGATCCCTAAATTGTAAAAAATTATTATAGTCCTACTCCATGACCTAGCAATTCCATCTGTAGGCATAAACCCAATAGAAATGAATGTTTATGTCCATCAAAGGTCATGTACTAGAAGATCCATAGTAGTTTTATCCATAATAGCTCAAAACTAGAAACAACCCAAATGTTCATCAACAGCAGAATGGGTAAAGAAATCATGCTATAATTAAGCAATTGAGTGCTACCTAGCAATAAAAAAGAACAAACTACTGCTACACACAATATGGACGAATCACAGGTATGTGGGTAAAAGAAGCCAGACACAACACAGGAGTGTAACTTTTTTCTATGCAGTTCAAGAACAAGTAAAATTAGTGTATGACGATAGAGGTCAGAACAGAGATAGCCCTGGAGAGGGGGCACATGATTGGGAGGGGGTGTAAAGAAGCCTTCTGGGGTGCTGGAAATATTTTTGATCTCAGTATGGATGCTGGTTTATGAGGATTTGTTCACTTTGTGAAAATTCATCAGGCTGTACACTTGGGATTTCTTCACTTTGCTGTACCTCAGTTATGTCTCAATTTTTAAAAGGAAAAATAATTAAAAACAAAAATTCAAAAATTCATAGCAACGTGGCCTGCAACTGTATTTTTTGGATTTATAGTGTTCTTATCCATGTCCACAGAAATAAGCGGCTAAGTGCACATAGCTTTGCATTGTTGTGGAATTCAGGGATGACCAACTTAAACTTTTCTCTGGAGATCACCAGCTGTGCTGGAGACCACCATGTAAATGCACATTTCAATACAAGTAAATACTATGAGTTTTGTTTTGTTTACTTTACAATTTATTTAGCAGCAGCTAGATCCCAGGGAACTGTTCTGGGTCTCATATTTATTATCACACGGGTATGTGCTCCTATTTCTGTACATGTAAATACATGTGCATCTATCTATGACCTACCCTTTATAGACCTCGGTTGGAGTCAGGTAAGGTAGGATTAAGTCTTCTTAGGTGTAATATGGGGGTAATAATTTCCACCTCACAGGAATGCTGTGACAATTTAATGAGATTTCGCACATGAAAGCATTTCATAAACTGAATAAGTGTGAGTTCTATTTGTGTTCCTTTATGTGTTTCTGTTTCTAACGAATTACAAGCCACCTGCTTCTATTTGAAAAGAAAAGGACAGTTGCCCTAAAGAGTGCGGGTCACTTCTCACTTGCCGCTTTCAGCCCCGAACAAGCTTGAGGTTCCCACATAGAGACACCGAGGCTCAGAGCCTCCAAGTCCTC